GTCGCTGCAGCACTCCTTGCACTGGCCGCCGCAGCACTTCTTTCCATAGCCACAGTGGCTGTCAGAGCAGCACGCGGCAGTGGAGCAGGCACCATCGCAACACTTCTTTCCATAGCCACAGTTGCTGTCGCTGCAGCACTCCTTGCACTGGCCGCCGCAGCACTTCTTTCCATAGCCGCAGTGGCTGTCAGAGCAGCACGTGACACTGGAGCAGGCACCATTGCAGCACTTTTTTCCATAGCCGCAGTGGGCGTCGGTGCAACAAGCACACGTCTTGCAGTCTCCATTACAACATTTCTGGCCATAGGAACACTCATTGTCGTGCGTGCAGCCATGTGGTTTCACAACAACAAAGCCGCTGCCAGATGCACTAACATCCACAAATGCAACAGCGAGCAGTAGCATGCTCACTGTGAAGAAGACCAGTGAAGACATGTTGCCCACTCCCCTTGCCATGATGCGCTTCTAGACTTTGTTCTTATGGACTCACCTGGGCCACCAGCCTGCAAGGATGCACCCACCCACCCACACACACACCCACACCCACACACACACACACACACACACCTTAGCTCAGTCGATACATTAGTGAGCTGCTGAAATGCAGCCCCAAGCTCAAATCAAGATGATGGAACCGGATGAATGAACCAAATATCTCGGGTCGTCTTGATGGTGATATCTCCAGGGTGTCATCCTTCTAATTTCTAAAAGGGAAAAGAAAAAAAAAAGAAATAGAGGCTTGTCCAGAACAAGAGTTTGTGATGATAGAGAAAATAAGCAGGCACTATGACTGCGACTTGTTTCAAGTACAATTCTTTAGATTACAATAAATAACTCAACCCCAAGAGAAAAGGCAACGAAAGGTTAAACATTGGGCCTCTCTCCTCTACACAACACTCTAGTACATGCATTTGGGCATTTTCTAGACCAAGAGCATTTGGATGAGTCCAATATCTTTTGAACGTATGACGTTCAGAAAACGCCCAAATGCAAATGCATGTACTAGAGTGTTGTGTAGTGGGACAAGGCCTGTAATCACACAAGTAACAGTATAACAAGAACAACACAAACTTCTCTTTTCTAATAAGTTAATGTGCAACATAGTCAAAATTTCTTAAACTCTTTCGGACAGAAAATTATGCGAGGATTGAGTCAAGCTTGGCATATCAGGCCGTTGCCCCCCCGGAGTGGCATTGAGCAGAGACTTGCAGACTGCTGATTATAGCTGTATTTAGGATTACCGCATCTTTCAGTCTATATAGAGCTATAAAGACCATCCGATGTATTCGGGGGAAGAAGGTAGTGGGACTTGCCCGGGGGGCTCCATTCCTCACGAGAGAACAACATCACTCTTTCTAGAGCACGGTCATAGCAGGGCCTTTTCCCCACCACGTTTTGGATATCTGCCCCCTTGCTGTGTACTTGTAATTCTAATCCCGCCTTGCTATGTACTTGCATTCGAGCATTCCGCACACAGCACCCTCACAAACTCTCAAGGGGCACAGCATCCTCACAAACTTTGAAGGGGCACAGAGCACCCTGACAAACGCTGAACGGGCTGGAGGGAAGGCAGGCAGGTCGCCAGCTCCGAAAGAGCCGTCTCCGACTCTCCAACTCGAGAACTACCTCCACTACGCACCAAATGTGCAAAATGAGAGTGAATCTTCCTATGTTTCGTGTCGTGTATGTGGCCAGTAGTGGAGAGAGGCCCTCTGAAAGCGGTCTTCTGCAAAACTTATGTATATATATATATATATATATATCGTCACAAACAGAACTGCCCGGTAAACCGTAGGCAGAGAGAGAGAAGAGGACAACAAACGAGGGGCTGTGACATTTATATATATATATATATCGTCAAATAGAACTGCCCGGTAAGCCGTAGGCAGAGAGGGAGAAATATATATATATATATATATATATATATCGTCACAAACAGATATATATATATCCGACGAAACAGTTCGTCACAGCCTCTGGTTTGTTGTTGTCCTCTTCTCTGTCTCTGCCTTCCAAGAGAAGAAAAAAAAAAAAGTCAGGAGGTCTCGCGAGCCTGAAATTACGGTATTCCATTCGTTATTTGGCACTCGTCCATGCAGAGCCGCGCAAGATCGACCGTCCGCTCCCGAATAAAACGTTCGTACGGTCATTATACCTGCGTTTGCGTTTTGGGGGGGGGTTCTAAATGCGGACCAGGCGTTCTATTCGTGAGTAGCTTCGTGTCGTGATTACGTGAAAGCAGCATGCAATCACGATCGGCCGCAACGTAAGCGCAAACTCTCTGAAGACTCAGCGAAACTTCCCTGAAATTCCACGATGAGGCAACGAAGGATGACACAAGGAAACTTCCATGCTGAGCCCTTCTTCGACGAGAAAAAGGGGAGGCTTGCATCACGACCAGACAGCGCACTAGGTAGCTCCCATGATGAGATAGCCAAGGCCGAGACACCGAAACGGATATGACGAGTGACACTGGTTCTATCACCGAAACTTCCCAAAAGTCTTTTTTTTTGGGGGGGGAACGCCATTGATTTTCTTCGAATCCGACGCCGCACCGAATCGACGTGATCAGGTAAACGTCGCGTGACACGTGGCGGCCATCACTTCAAGCTTGCAGGGAGATGACATAGCACGAACGTAGGTGGTGCAGGGAGATGACATAGCACGGGCATAGCGTTGACATCGCAGGGGATGACATAGCACGGGCATAGCACGAACATACGTGGTGTAGGGAGATGACATAGCACGGACATATTACGGGCATAGCAGCTGCAGACATTGCATTTGCAGAGCACAGCCCATATCAGCAGGAAGAGCCGCAAACAGAGAAAGTAGATCGAACCCTATCTCCGAAAGCACCGAGTCTCTACCTTTCCCGTACGGCGCACACGGATGAGAGTCAGAGCCGACGCAGTCTAGGTCCGGCTGAGCGCGGATAGCCAATAGCCAATAGCAACGAGCCACTAGCAAACATCCAACCGGCAGACATTGCGCCATTAGGGCTGGCCAGGAAGAGCCAGATCTCACACCCATCCAGGTGGAGAAGAAAACAATAAGCAAGCAGAAGCACCACAAAGAAACCAGGCTGGAAGTCAGCACACACACAAACACACACATGTGTGTGTGTATTCCCGCTCTGTGTGTCTGTGTGTGTGTGTGTGCGTGTGTGTGTGTGTGTGTGTGTGTGTGTGTGTGTG